TCAAGAAATACACAAATTAGTCCAAAATTACTACAACTTGAACAAAATGTTTAAAAATGTGACTAAAATAATCTAAGTTTTGTACAAAATGAGTCAAAAATTGGCCATGAAAGGATCTAAGACCACTAATATGTGCAATATTGTTATTTACACCCAGAGAAAAATGGACAATCTGAACCGGTGTCGAGGTATATTTTTGTTTTTTACTGATGTTTCTTAAATGTTTCCTGTTTGCTGCACATTGCTCCACTGTGGGATCAATAAAGTCTCATCGTATCGTATCAAAATGTCTAAAATGACTCAGAATTCTCTCACAATACCTAAAATCCTCCTGCCTCCTGTTGTGTCCGTCGTATCAGACGGTTTCTAACACCTTCGTGTGTCGGTGGTTTTAATGTTGTGGCTCGTCAGTGTATTTAATAAAGTGTATTTTCTGTTAACGAACTACAAACTCCAAAAACTCGATGCGTCAGAGTTGAAACGTCCCCGCTGCCCTGAACGCCTCCTGATTTGTGACGGCCTGTCCCACATGTACGGTCTTGCTCGTCTTTCCCCCTTCTGTCTTGTTTTCTGTCTGAGTTCCCGTCCAGCTGGAAGAAAGTCAACGTTTGTTTCCTCCCTCGTCCGCCGCCGTGCCGACGGGATGAGCGGGTAGCGAGGAGGAATCCTTCACGCTCGTCGCTGCCCTCCCAGTGAACCGGCGACTCGTTGGCAGAAAGACGCTCGGTGTGTTTTCACAGCAGAGTTCAGGTGAAACACAATCAGCTCACACACTTTTACTACGAGTTCTCTGTTCTTCTTCTTTTGTTAAATGTAGTTTTCTTTGCCCCCGATCTGACCCAAGTTATTTAATATCCAGCATCCGCTGATACCGAGTCCCAACCTGACGCCGGTTCAGGTACATTAAAGCTGCTAATAATAATAATAATAATAATGATTCAATGCCTGATAACTGAATATCTCTGCAACGCATTTGTGCCTCCAGTCGGTTCCTGAATGTTCTGTAGGTGGAACCTTGTAGTAAAGCTCCAGTAGAACCCTGTCTACATGTAGAGTTAGAGGGTAGAACACCTGTGTTCTCTACATGATGTCAGTATTACAGACCAGCTGCAGTACCTGGTTGTTCCACCAGGTGGAGCCTCCTGCTGTTTAAGAGACCAGAGGAGGCGTCTACAGACTACAGCTCATGGTGGCAGCAGAGAGCATTGTGGGAGTTTAGCAGCAGCGGGACCATGACAGAGACTCTGAGGAGGTTCAGGACCTCCAAATCCTACGTCCAGTCTGATGTATTTGATCACGCAACAACAAAGAGACACAGAACCACCACAAAGAGATGGAGTTTGACAACAAAGAGATGGAAGTTGACCAGAACAAGACACAAAATGCCAAACTGCGACTCTAAATTAAGCCTAAATCTGACCTGAAGCCTCCATCAGCCACTCGACCATCTGAGCAGCAACACATCTGCCATCCAAGGTTTTTAATTTCGCCTCTTTTAGCATTTTTATTGATATTTTCTGCACAGATTCTATAATATCACAGATGTTTTTTGGTTTATGCACATCTCACAAGTTTCCTTCTACTCATGTTCAGTTCATGTCATCAGTGTCTGTTGACCAGCTGCTGCCTTCTAAGAACCTGTAACGTCTACTTTAAGGAGCTGTTTCTCTCTGAAAACCAAGTCTTCAAACCTGAAATGTTCGTCTTTGTTTCTGAGAAGTTCACTTTTGGAGACACAACGTTAATCCATCGAGGCAACGTGTAGCCTGCCTGTCATCAGACCAACCTGTCAGCGAAGGGAATTCTATTTTCTGCTTCATTTTATGAGTAACAGAACACAGACGCAGCATGAACACCACGGTGATTACAGCCTGGGATAGTCTGAGCTTCAGAAGGTCTGCAGGAAGCTGCGTGAACTCACCTCCAGCGCCTGGAACACGGCGCTGCGGTAGGAGGCCAGCTTGGTGTAGGACGCCTGGCTGAAGAACTTGGGGAAAGCGGTGATGGAGTCCAGCTTGTCGGCAGAAACCTGGAGAGGAAAAACACGGCGTCACATAAAACCAGGAGCTGCACCACCGCCGCTGTTCCCGGTTCCTCCTCTTCCTCCTCTTCCTCCTCTTCCTCCTCTTCCTCACCTCGGAGAACTTGCCGTCCCCGAACCACTGCAGCCACCTCATGCCGTGGCTCGCCTGCCGCTTGCCGGTGGCTCGCCACGTCACCACGATGCCCGGCCACCACGAGAAGCCTTTGATCTTCCCCCAGACCAGCTCGCCGATGCCAAAGCCCTTGTTGTCCTGGAAACAGATACAGGAGGAGGAGGAGAGAGGCCGTCAGATTGCTTCACTAAGAAAGTCTGATTATCTGAGCAACTACAACACACAGAAGGAAGAAGAAGAAAATATGTGGAGATGATTTGAGACTCAGGAACACAACAGGTCGGGAATAAACACCTGGAAAATGACTACAATAACACAAAACACAAGCTAAACAATCACAAAGAGACGCAAAACCAACACGATGTGACACAAACGAACAGACGCACAACAACCAGAGACACAAAATGACCAGGAAGAAATGCAAAATGATGACAAAGACACAAAAAATGACTATAAACAGATGGAAAAAGACCAGAGACACACACAATGACTTCAAACAGACGCAAAACAACCCCAAGTAGACATAAAAAACCCACAAAGACAAAGAAATGGTAGAACAAAAGGACACAAAATGATCACAAATAGACCCCAAAAGACCACAGAGTAAAAAAACGCCAGAAAGAGACTTAAAACAACCACAAACAGCTGCAAAATAATCACAAAATGGCCAGAAAGAGACACGAACATGCTAAAAAGTGATAGAAATGGACAAAAAACAGCCACAAAGACATGCAAAACAACTGCAAATAGACACAAAAAGACCACAAACACACTACAAAATGACAGAAATAAACACAAAATGACCATAAAAATGTTACAAAGTGACAGAAATGGACAGAAAACAACCACAAAGACACACAAACAACCATAAACAGATGCAAAAGGACCAGAAAGACACACAAAACAACCACCAATAGACACTGAGCAGTCTAACAGGACCAGTTTAGTTCCTACTGACAGCTACACAGCGACCAGATTCTGTTCAGTGTCTGCTTCTGATGAACGTCGTCATTTCTGTGTTTTTAACTATTTAATGTCCAGATCTTAAAAACTGGAGCATCTCACATCACTGAAAACACACCGTTGACTCTGATTTCAGTCTTTTCTCTCCTTTAAAGACAGAGAACCTCCACCAGCTCTGTAGGAAGCTGCTGGTTGGATTTCTGAGCTTCACATGGATCCAGCAGAGCATCATGACCCTGAACAGACAAACCGTCACATGGAGCTGCTGCCTGCAGATGTAAAGGCTGCAGCGCTGCATGCGACGCGCTGCCCTGCAGACGGGACCTGAATGCCGGCATTGATGCAGAGCAACAGACGGTGTGTTTGTGTGAGCAGCTGCACCAACACAAGGCCAGGTGGAGGAGGAGGAAGTCCAAACCTCCACTTCCTCTTTTTAAAGTAATCTGCCTCCTGCACAGCTGTCAGACTCCTTCTCTTTGCTCGTCTTGTTACGACTCCGTGCTGCTTTCAAGGTGTTAATCAAACATCTGGAACTTCCTTTCTGGACTTTTATTTTGCATTTTAAAAAGCTCAAACCTCCACCTCTCTCCAGGACGGCGGTCTGAGTCCTTCTCTCTGGTCATCTTCAGTCTTTTTTCTGCTCGTCTCATCATGACTACAGGCCGCTTTCTCAACATATCTGTAGCTTCCCTTTTAGACTTTTATTTTGTATTTCAAAAAGCTCAAACCGCCACTTCCTCTTTTTAAAACAATGTTCAAACCCTCACTTCTCTCCTGCACAGCTGTGTGAATCTTTCTCTCTGTCCAGGCTGTTTTCAGACACAGTGCATCTCTAATATCTGTAACTTCAGTTCTAGGCTTTTATTTTGTATTTTTTTAGAAGTTCAAACCTCCACTTCCTCTTTATAAAATATTCTCTCTCCTGCACAGCTGTCTGATTCCTTCCCTCTGTTCACCTTATTTCTTTTCTGCTCATCTCGTTATGACTCCAGGCTGCTTTAAAGGTATTAATCTTACGTCTACAACTTCCCTTTTAGACTTTTATTTTGTATTTTAAAGAGCCCAAACCTCCAGAAGCTGCACAATCGAGTAAATGTGTTCTGTGAAAAATAATAAATATTAATTCGAGTCATAACTGACATCGTGAAGCATAATTTATCCGATGTTGTTTCCTTAAATTCACCAAAATGACATCATTTATCGGCTGGATGCTTTAAAAACGGAGCTAAACTATTGGATTTTCTGGTTTCCGACGGTCCTTGAACTAGTCATAAGTGACTTTTGTTTTTTGTCGGGAAAAACAACCAGATTTAAGCTTAAAATTAAAAGATATTTGATCAAAATGATTTTAAAAATTGCCAAAAATATGCAGGAACCTCATTCCGTAAAAAACTAAAAATTCTGCACTCTTCGGTGCATCTGAGACGCCTTCACTGACTCGGCTGTGAGCAACAGTCACGAGACAAAAATTCAGGGCGTTTCGGCTGAACTGCAGGCTGTGCCGAAAGCCAAATCTCTAAAACAAAACTGGGTGCATGGAGTCAGAAACGCTGCTCGTGGTTGAATTCTGACTTCATTGGAGGTAAACTCTGGAAACAACCTAAACTGTGATGCGACAACAAAACCCATCGAACTCTCTGGATGTGGCTCCTCCTAAATTCTGCTTCGTACCCAATTTAAATTGCTTTAAGTTATTGTATCCTGGAGAAACGCTCTCTCATCCTGCCTGTACTGCTGTGTGTGTACAGCAACATGACAATAAACTTGATTGGATTTGATTTGATTTGAAAATGAAACTCAAGTTGAAGGTGTTTGTTTCACAGTTTAAGCGTGGTGGCTGCTTGTAGAACAGGCTTTCCAGTGCGGCAGGAGCACTGGGAGCAGAGCAGCGCTGCACCAGGAGGCCAGTTTGAAGGACGAGGTGGTAAAACTCTGAACTTCTTGTTTGTAGTTTCACAGCCTTGAATTAGGACAGTTTTTTTTTTTTTTTTTTCGGAGTGATTTGAGACTTTGTTTACACCAAATAAGAGCACATTTTCTGCTGCCGCGATCCAAGAGATCTGACAAAACTACTTTCAAACAGTCTGAAGCTCAGCAGCTGCAGACGTCTTGCTCACTTCACACGTTGCTTTGAAGACCTTCCAGGTTTTTTTCCATCTGCCTCCATGGGTTCAGTCCTGTGTTCTGCTCTCTGCCGTCTATACTTTCTCCGCTATAAATTAATCTGACAGAGCCTCCGTCGAACGCGTGACTTACGCTGTACTCTGGCTGGGTCTCGGAGCTGGACGAGGTGCCGGTGCTCTGAGCCGAGTCTTTGGAGTCCTGTTCCATCAGCTCCAGACGAGGGGCCTCCGGGACGCCGTCGGACCCGACCGCCGGCCCCCGAGGGCCTCCGGCACACTGCAGCGGAACCAAGAAGACCAGTTAAACACCTGAACTCAAGCGCACAAACCGACGGCGGTGCAGCGCCTTCCCTCGCTCAGCTGTCACTTCCCTCAGTCGGATTGACGCTAAATGTGTTTTTAAGTGTGTTTGCAGAAGCGCTCTTCACCTGGAACTGACTGTTACCAAAACAGATCGTATCTCCGCCGCACAAAGCCGAGCGCCGTCTTGAATCACTGCAGCTCTGTCAGCTCGCAGGAATTTATGTCTCTGCTTTTAACTCTGGCTGGAACATGGTTTCATCCAAATATGTCAACGTGCAATTCAGCTGCAGCTTAAGCGTGTGAAGAAAAACAAAACTGCTTTGAAACGTCGACGTTTTGAGAGGAGGTGGGTTCATCACAGAGGAATTCATGCAGCTTTTATGTTGCTCACAAATGCAAAAAAACAAGAATATTCTCAGACCAAACCACGGCACAGCTGCAGGAAATGACTCGGCAAACGGTTTTTCTTGCATTTTTGCAGCAAAATGACCTCAGCGGCCACAGTGAAGGACTTCACACTTCTCCTGCTCGGTACAAATGAAACATGTTTGGGTTTCACAGACAAACGAGCTCAGCTTTGTGCACATTGTCTGCAGGTTGAAGCGCAGAAACAACGATAGAGAGGTTGAGTTTCTTGCAAGACGATTACAGGGAACCTTCTTTATGACATGATGGGTTTTAAATTATTAGAATATTTTACCAAAATACTGGAGATTCATGAGAAATCAAAGGAAACAGCTGCAAAAAAGGAGAGGGATGAGGAAATGTGGGGAAAAGAGATCCAAACTAAAGACGGTAAACAAGAATCACTTTCACTTGTTTGTACAGCCTGCGTGGACACGGTTCATCCCAGTCACACGCCTCTTTCTGGGATGTGGGAAAGTAAAAAAAACAACAAAGCTGAACTCACTGAACTTTTCCAGTGAACTGCTAATCCAAAGATGAGTCAAAAGAGCACACGGTTGTGTTTATCCTGGTCAAAGGGATGCTTCATGCAGCAGAAACAGGCCCTGACTCACACTTCTTATTTTTAACATTTGGTGAAGCAAACTCGGGCAAACACAGACGAACTCCCGTCGATTAAAATGCAGTCGGGTGGAAAACACGGCGAGGTTCAGGTGAGTCGTGTTTACCTGCGTCGCGCCGCCGTGCTCCTGCTTGCGGCTCTGTCTTCGGGGTTTGCTGTGCGGCATCAGTCCGGCCTGGAAGATGGTTCTGGGTTGAGGTCTCTGCCTCAAACCCAGCTGAGATGCCCCCGAGGACTTTTCCTGCAAACACACAGTCGGCGGATTAGAGTTCGGTTTCGATGATTCGTTAGCGTAGCTTTTGGAGTGTTTGTGGTCGAACCTCGCTGCAGGAGTCCCAGCTACCGTCCTCCTCCTGCGGCCTCTTCTTGCTCCTCTTCCTGCTTCCACTCGAACACTGATTACCGTCTGAGGAACAACAAGAGATGGACAGAAGGTCGGACAGATGGCCGAGGAGAAACCGAATATGTTCCAGAGACAGACGGCTGCTGCTTCGTCTCATGTTTGAAACTATGAGTCGTACGAGCTAAATCCAGGCTGCAGCTAAATATTATTTATGTTTTTGGTTATTTTCCAGATGAACTGAGGAGTTGTTTGATCTATAAAACGTCAGATAATGCAGAAAAACATCAATCAGTGTTTCCCAAAGACAAAGATGCCATAAATTATGGAAGTTATTTGTTGACAGCACATGATAGCACGAAATCTGTCACTCACAACTGGCTTCTTCAACAACAATAATGACTATAACTGAACAATAGGAGTGATGACATTTGAGTGCCATGTGACTCTCCAATGCTCCAGTTTACTGTCGATCGATCGAGATCAATAACAGTTTGTCTCCTGCAGTTCTGTCCACTCTTCCTCTGTTTTGTTCATCTTTTTCTGTTCTGCCACTTTTATTGCCCACTAAGGTTCACGTTCATCATTTCTTATTGTTTTAACTGTTAGCCGTTAGCACAGCATTAGCCGCTGTGAAGGCAGCTACTGTGCCGATTTGTGGAGATGTTTGTGCTTCTTGTTCAGTTTTTGGGTTGTTTCTCTGCAGAGAGACGATTCTGTCAGTTAGAAGAGATCGTTAAGGTTAATCTGACTTTAGTAGAGCGTTAGCTACAGGCTAGGAGGCACAGCTAACCTCTTCACAACAGCTGTATCCTATCACTGTCTGGAGCTCCTCTGCTCTGCAAATGTGCTCATCTGTCTCTCTGTGTAAACAATAGCTGTGATTGGCTGCTACTCAGGACATGTAACAGCCTAAAAGGTAATACAGAACTGCTGGGCACTGTTGATGAGTGTTACCTTGGGGTGAGTTAATATGTGTTACCTTGGGGTGAGTTAATGTGTGTGTTACCTTGGGGTGAGTTAATGTGTGTGTTACCTTGGGGTGAGGCAGCGTCTCCGTTCTGTTTGGGGCTGAAGGGGGACGGCGGCTCGGCGGCGGTCAGAGGGCTGTTCTCATTGGTCAGCTCCACGCCGCTGTCGTTCTCTGATAGGCCCTCAGCTGGAGGCGTGTCTCCGTTCACCGCCGCCTGGAGGAGGATGGAAAACAGGAAGAGAAGAGCTTTTAAAGGCAGAGCTTCACCAGCTTCCAAAAGTAGAAGTTCATTTGATGGGTTTGCTCATTAAGACATGTTTTTACGACAACTGTTTCAATCGGGGCTTTACATCGCTGAAGTCTTTGCAGCTCGACTTCTTTAAGTCAGTTCATCAGGCTCAACCTGCACACAGGTTCTCCGCCTCCAGCCCACCCACGGCTCCGCCTCCACCCACGGCTCCGCCTCCAGCCCACCCACAGCTCCGCCTCCAGCCCACCCACGGCTCCGCCTCCAGCCCACCCACGGCTCCACGCCACCACGCTGCGTTTGATGTGTCAGACCCCGACGTCTCCAGGGCCGCAGGTAACATTCCCGTTACACGGCGGCGTTCCTGACAGGTTAACGGCAGCAGCTCCGTCTGTGCAGCCGCCATTAAGCCGTCACATGACTCCACGATGACAAACTATTAGCGGAGCGCTGCAGATGGAGGAGTGCGGTCGGGGCTTGTTCAGCGACTGAACGTCGTAAATCTTCAGGTCCTCAAAGCGCTGCAGATGATCGCGCCGCCAGAAACTCCTGACACGTTTCCAAGTGGGTCACCGGTTTCCAAAAAAAACCTCTGGGACGTCGTCCAGCGCAGATGTGAGGTTTGTTGTTGTGCTGCTTAAACTGTAATCTGTTTTATGCAACACCGACTCAGGAGTCACACGTTGTGTTCAGGCTGCGACTTGCAGGCAGGAGACGACCAAACACTGAACAAACTTTTTTAAGTTGTTGACCAAAACAAAGCCGATGGAACGAGTGGTTTTAAACCTGAAGCTGTTGGAAGGCAGCGCGTTGTGCAGCGAGCAGCCGAACCCTTCGCTCCCCTCCGGCTGCTGTTTTTGTGACTTTTGCACATTCTTGCTGCGCTCGTGTCAGAATGACAGAAAATTACACAATCAAACACTGAACGCTGCAGTCGATCCAGAAAGAACACGCCAGAGGCTTTCAGGCATGTCAGCAGGTCCTGCAGCGCCGACATCCAACAAAAAAGACAAAAAAATCTGCAGCTAATGGTGCCAGAAAAAACACAAAACTGAAGAAAAAGAAGTGGAACAGCAGAACATTCA